GTTAGTCTGTGTGAATGCCAGCAATGGTGCGGTCACACGGAATTTAACAGTTCAGAATTTTGTGATTACTGAGCGTTTGATGGCAAATAGAGGTGTTTTTAATATAACTGAACAGGCCTACTGTTCAATACAGTCAAACAAGCCTATTGCTGTAATGCAGTATGCTAAAGGACACCTAGTAGATGATCGATCAAATGATGATCGTTCTACAAAAACACTACAAGATCTTGCTGATCCAGCCATGACGTGGGTTCCATCTGCTGGTCAATATCTTAACAGATACTTGATATCGAATGATATCTATTTAATCAGTGAGAGTGACCCTTTCTCCAGTAATGGTGTATACGTGACAGTGCTACCAGAGTGCTTCAATGCTAGTGCTATATTAAATAATGTTACTGCACTTGAGAGTGATGCTAGTAAATGGGGTAGATTTTACTGTGATGATCTCAATGATATATGCGGCTACGGTATTTCTGTTGACATACCACAAGGAGATCATCTCCTAAGACATGCTGATCCAAACTGTGCATTCGGTGCCATCTTTTTTGGTTGGGGAGATCAGAAAGGATATGCCTATCCTGCTGGCTTTGGAATGAGACCTATTGCAGGTATACACTTCAAATAATTGTAAATGTAATTTGTTTATTAATTCAATTTCCCTCTTTCAGAAACTTTTTATACTATTGAGCCTCTCATACCATCAGCCAGGGAGAGTAGTCTGGGTCCAGTGTCTGTTACAGTGTATAAATCTGGTAATGTTTCTGCTGCTAGTTCAGTTGAAATCACTACTATTATGTCTTGTGAGTTTACATATATTCTTGTATTGTATTCACTTTCCTTTTTTTTCTCCTTTCTGCAGCTAGTGCCAATGCAGCAACAAGTAAGATAATAATTTAGTTTTCATTTACTCTCTATATTTCCTTTTTCTTCAGTTGGTACCGATTTGCAAACACAGTCTTTAACTGTTAATTTTGCTGCTGGTCAAACTTCAGCTGTTGCAACTTTCAACTTCATGAATGACAATGATCCAGAACCATTTGAAACATTTTTGGTTGGTTTTGTTGAAGGTCAAGACATTAATATTGGAACACCATCACAAGCTGAGCTGGGAATAATTGATGATGACTGTAAGTGAACTATAAAGCAATGCTTTTGGTATAACTATTATGGCTGTCATTTTTCTTAATAGCTGTCACTATAATGTTTGATCCTGTACCTTACTCTGTCACTGAGGGAGATAGTAATGTAACACTTAATATCACATTTGTGACATCTCAGCCTCTTTTTGGAGCATCCACTATTAGAATAACCAGTATACCAGCTGCTGGAGACACTATTCAAGCTACTGGTTAGTAATTTATTTCAGCTGAATGAGTTCTTGACTTTCTTTTATAGCTGGAGTTGATTATGTGCCTTTCAATCAAATGATCACTCTACCTGCTGGTTCTACAGGTCATTATTATACTACCACCATCCTTTCTAATTCAGAAGCTGAACCACCTGAGCACTTCAGTGCAACTCTAGAGTTTGTTAGTGGAAGCCCACTGATAGTTACTGGATCTAATGCTACTGTAACTATTAATGATGTTGATGGTTAGTGATCTTTATTCTTGTCTCCTATTTATCACTATGTTTTGTTACTTAGTTCCTACAATTAGATTCCGGCCAGTCATGTATACTGCTATAGAGGGTAGGAATGGTCAAGCTGTTAGTGAAACAATAAGAGGTGTTACATCACAGCCTCTATTAGGAGAAACTACAATTCGACTAACTGATGTACCTACTCCTGGAGCTACCAGTCCTGCTACACGTAAATGCTTATAAATATACCCATTGCTTCTACTGCATTACAACAGAATCTATTGTATTATATAATTCTAGCTGACCACATCATTTGATGTGCTCTAAAATATTATTTTATGACACAAAATCTGTGCATTGTCATGAATAATGTTAAAGTTCATTTGAGCCCTCATTTTCTTGCTATAACTTTTTTGACTTTCTATTTTTGAAAAGATGCATACCAATATTGACATTTCTCTCCTTTTGCTGAGCTTATAGTTGGTCATATAGCCCTTGCAAAAGCATAGCCATGCATGCATGTACTTTTTACAATACTTTTACATTCTTTATGAGGTGTCTAATGATTCAGTGAATTATTATACATCATTTCTCTACTTTCTTTTGTCATTTCTTTATAGGAGATGCTGACTATATTGGCTTTACTCGAGATATAGTCCTACCTGTCGGGGCAACGGAGTTTTCTTATAATGTCACAATATTATCAGATGAGTCCGTTGAACAATCTGAAGTGTTTGATGTAGACTTGTCACATTTGAGTGGTTCACCGTTAACAGTAGTTGGACCAGACGCTACTGTCACTATTACTGATTCTAGCTGTGAGACATTAATTAGTTGAAATAGAATTTAACACAATTAATTAAATGACCTGTGATTGTAATGCTAGCCTTCAGGGTTTTCTGGCATATTGCTCATTTCAATATACTAGTAATACAGGGTACTTGTTTCAAAAATGCTACAAGAAAATTCTACATTCTAATAACTTTTTTCTGATACATGATGCATGTTTTATGAGTCTATGACTGTTCTTGTAAATACATGTACATGTACGTACTGTGTACAGTATGCCTTCAAGTTTTTTTGTCTGCAATGCAACATTATAAACTGATTTACTAATAATAATAATAATGATAATCACTTTATTATTAATTTATAATTGTAGTTATAACGTTGATGTTCAGTGCTCCTGATTATTCAGTGCCAGAGAATGATGGAAGAGTTACCCTTAACATCACAGCCTCAGCTCCTGTTACATCAAATACTGTCATTAGTTTGACTTACATTGAGACTAATGGTGGAGCATTAAACGGAAGTAGGTTTTTGAAAATTAAAATTAACGTACTAATATTGATTTAATTATTAGCATACAGTATTATGATGTAGTGAATTTCAAATTGTTTTATATTTTATTTTATTTGTTATAACTGCATCATTTTTTGTCTTGTTCCCATTCCTCTAGTGAATTTGCATAAAAAATACAAATTTGTAATTTTTGCATAAAAATTGCTTTATGTCTATTATAAGATGCACTATCATCATCATCATCATCATCATCATTATTATTATTAATTTATTATTACTATTATTATTATTATTTTATAGGTGATTTTGGCCCTGTTCCTGCCACAGTGACAATCCTAAGTGGGCAGTCCTTGGTTTCATTCACTGTTGATATAACAAATGATGTTCTCCCTGAGCCCACTGAGTCCTTTGATATTAGAATGGCTCTACAGTCTGGCCAATCTATTGTTGTACCTTCAGGAACTGATACTGCTACAGTGACCATTACTGACAGTGACAGTATGTTTATTGTCTTTCTTTGCTAGTTTAAAAAATATTATTAATATTATTTACTGGTGTGCTACATATTTTGATTGCATCTTATTATTATTATTATTATTATTATATTATTATAATGAATATTATTATTATTGTTATCATTATCATTATGCCATATTTCACCTTTCCTTTATTTAGGGAGCTTAATCAGTTATGCTCCAAGAACAGTTTCCAGACGTGAAGAAAACAGCCCAGCTCCACTGACGATAACTGTTGCACCACCATATTTCGAAACGTTTCAGTTTGAGTCTTTCAGTGTCCAGTTCAGTGATCGGAATAGTTTAGCCCAAGGTAAGTTTAAAGAGAAATAAAATCGGAAGATTCTAAAACAACTTTAGATACAGCATGAGAATATACATGTACATCTATGTACTACAAACTACTATTACAATTGTACATATTTTTATTCCAAGCATCACTCGTTTCTATTATTTATATATATATATTTTTTCAATATTCCAATTGCAGCTGGCGTTGATTATATTTCATTCAACGACTCACTGACTGCCGTAAATGGATTGGGTCCTATATCACATTCTGTGGTACTGCTAGATGATGAGATAATGGAACCCGATGAAGATTTTGGCATCAGACTGAACGTGTTGGGTAACGTTAGGGTTGACGTGGCCTCAACTGTCGAATTAGCCAAAGTTATCATTTTGGATACTGATAGTAAGTGAATGATAAGGACATTAGAAATATTGAAATAGTTTTAGTGAAAAGGGAGGAATGATAGAGAGCGTAAACGAGAATGAGTTAGATATTTTTATTTTAAGCTTGTACTTTTGAAAGTTGAAGTTTTTTTCCTAATTATGATATGTGTACATGACTACATGTACATGCATAAATTTTATAATTATTATGATAAATTTAACTTGTTGCTATACTCACTCCTACTCAGGGATCAGTATCGGTTTCCAGAGACCATTATATGTGACTGTTGAACCAGAGACCAGTAACAATCCAGTTGTAATAATTGCTGAAACTAGAGGAACTTCTGCAAGACCATTCTCTGTCAATGTGGAATTCACTGATGATTCTGCCATTGGTAAGAGATCACATGTTTATTATTATTATTATTATTATTACTATTATTATCATCATTGTTATTATTAAAAACAAGTAAAACAAAATATCATTATTATACAGTGTAGGGTGGGTTACAGAAAAATAAGTTAAACCAGGATAGTAGGGTAATGAAAGTAATAGAAGTCATCATCATCATCATCATTATTATTATTATTATTATTATTATTATTATTATTAATCTGATGTTATTATGATCAGGTGGTGGTGAAGATTATGATGAAAGGCACCCCTCAACAATTTCTGCCTCGTTTGAAGCTGGCACTAACAGAAATGCTACCATCAGAGCTAATGTTTTGTCTGATGATATTGATGAGTTTACAGAGCGATTCAATTTGTCACTGGCCTTTGGTACAAATGATCCATTTGTTAACAGAATCGATTTCTTCAGAAAAGACACCATTGTAGAGATCCTTGATAGCGACAGTAAGCAGAAATAAAGGCTAATATGATATTGGTTTGGTTTACAATTTGGTTCATTTTTCAATTAAGTACATGTATGTGATTCTTAGTTCAGCAAGGATAGTTTATGCACATTTCAACAAGTACGTGTACATGTAATCAAGCAAAAAAAAGAATAAAAACTAAAATAAAATTTAAAAAATAGAAAATTGCATACTAAAAATTCATTAATTTTGTTATTATATTTTTTATTTTTTATTTTAGCCGTCACATTCTTTGTTAATACAAGTGTAAGTACTACGTCAGTCCCTGAGGATCAAGATGCCATGATCTGTGTACAGAGGAATGGAAGAACTGATCGCAACTACACAGTGACCATACAACCAAGCCTTATTTCTGGTGGAGCCCAATGTAAGAGAGTATCATTATGACATTTTACTACTAGCATAATGGGGCCACTTTTGTATAGCAACCAATATTTAAAATGTATATTTTTGTTTGGTGGAGGATATTCTTATTTTGCTTGCAGTAGTATATTTTTTGTATGTAAAGCATATGCTATAGGAGTGACTGGTTGAAAATACATGTACAATGTGACTTAAACCTGCACGGTATACAGAATAGATAATGAAAAAACTAATGTTAATGCCAAAAGTAAAATCCACTCAATAAGCTATGTGATATAAATCTGCATTTGACAAATAATAAAACAGATCTAAATTTTATTATCACGATCATCATTGTTATTTTATTTATTTATTCTTTATTCTACAGCATCTGACTTCTCTACTGCTCCGATAATGTTCCTATTCAGGCCGACTGATACCCAGGTATGTCGCTCTGTCCCAGTGGTCGATGATGATATTGCGCTGGAGGGAAACGAGAACTTCTCCGTTAGTGTAACGGGTACATCACCAGGAGTTGATGGAACACCTGAAGAAACAACAACTACCACCACTGCAGTTATTACTATAATTGATAATGATGGTAAGGAATATGCTATGTATCTATCCTTAAACATAAATATGCTTTTGATAGTATAATAATCACATACACATGTATGTACAATGCTGCAGTATGATATTTAATGTGTTATGTATAGCTAGACAATTATGAAGAATCGCTTTCCAAAGGTTTGGAAGTTTGAATTTTTTTGAGCCAAAGGCATTTAATAAGCATAGCAGTTAATAGCAAAGGCTATAGTCCATGGTTTTTTCTCAAAAAATGGCTCCGAAATCACCCCAAATTTTTATTACATTTTCTGATACATATTGATGTCCTTATGCTGTGTAGAAAGTTTGAGTTGATTCTGACTTCAATTTTTTGAGTTACGCCCATTTTAAGAAAACGTCAAAATCCTGAAAAATACCCAAGGCTATTATAGCCCATGGTTTTTTCCAAAAAATGGCTCTGAAATCACCGCAAATTTTTATTACATTTTCTGATACATATTGATGTCCTTATGCTGTGTAAAAAGTTTGAGTTGATTCCAACTTAAATTTTTTGAGTTATGGCCATTTTAAGAAAACGTCAAAATCCTGAAAAATACCCAAGGCTATAGCCCATAGTTTTTTCAAAAAATGGCTCCAAAATCACCCCAAATTTTTATTACATTTTCTGATACATATTAATGTCCTTATGCTGTGTAGAAAGTTTGAGCTGATTCCGACTAGTAGTTTTCAAGTTATGAGCATTTTAAAAACAAAAACTACTGTAGTTCACTTGTCCTAATAATTCTTATCCTATGCAGTTTCTATGGTATTCTTTGAAAGTCCACGTTACACTGGTGAAGAGGGAGAGACTCCTAAAGTATGTCTGAACCTTACTAAACCAATAGCAAGACCAGCAGCAGTATCAGTAACATCAAGTAATGGAGCACCAGGACTTGATCCAGCAGAATGTAAGTTTACCAAGTACATGTACAAATAGTGAAATTTCACATAATTATTGTTACATAAAATTCCAGTGTGTTTGGAGGTGAGTATCAGTAATGTAATACCTGAGTCCCTTGATATCTGCCCTCAGCTTCACCACAAGCAGATATCTCAATACTTATGCACACACTTTCTCTGCTTTATATAGAATAATTCAAATATTGATGGATGTTCATACTACTGTAATAGTTAATGTATCTCTTCTTGTCTTCTATAGCTACTGACTATAGTGGTGTTCCCAGTACAGTAACATTTACCAATACCTCACAGCAGCAGTGCTTTGATGTTAGATACAATGCTGATACAATTTATGAGGCTACAGAAGGTGCCACATTAACTGCTGACCCTGGCACTACTGGTCTGCAGCCTGGAACCCCAATATCAGCAGTACTTGAAATACACGACTCTAATAGTAAGAAAGAGTTATCATATGAGCTTTTTTATTTTTTGTTTTCTCTCTCTCTCTCTCTCTCTCTCTCTCTCTCTCCCCCTCTCTCTCTCTCCCTCCCTTTCTCCATTAGCTCCCACTTTCATTGGTGAAGGTAACATGACTGGTTCTGGTATGAATGTTACTGTACGAGAGAATGAGACTGCTATTGTCTGTGTTAGCCTCTCTGGATCTGAGACTACCTCCACTGAAGTAGCCATTAATCTCACTTTAACCCCAATGCAAAAGCCTGGAGCACCAGACCCAGCAGAACGTAAGTTGCTTTTGTAATAAGGACACCTTATCAATAAGAGTATTACATGTATACACTACTGTGGGAATTTTTTTAATGTCCCAATTGGTACAAACCTATACAAAAGTACCTCTAAAATGAGGATACCTCTGTATTAAGGACAGGTAGTGTGGGTCCAATGGTGTCCTTAATAAAGAGGCTACACTGTACATGTATTAAGGACAGGTAGTGTGGGCCCAATGGTGTCCTTAATAAAGAGGCTATACTGTACATGTATTAAGGACAGGTAGTGTGGACCCAATGGTGTCCTTAATAAAGAGGCTACACTGTACATGTATTAAGGACAGGTAGTGTGGACCCAATGGTGTCCTTAATAAAGAGGCTACACTGTACATGTATTAAGGACAGGTAGTGTGGGCCCAATGGTGTCCTTAATAAAGAGGCTACACTGTACATGTATTAAGGACAGGTAGTGTGGACCCAATGGTGTCCTTAATAAAGAGGCTACACTGTACATGTATTAAGGACAGGTAGTGTGGGCCCAATGGTGTCCTTAATAAAGAAGCTACACTGTACATGTATTAAGGACAGGTAGTGTGGGCCCAATGGTGTCCTTAATAAAGAGGCTACACTGTACATGTATTAAGGACAGGTAGTATAGGCCTAATGGTGTCCTTAATAAAGAGGCTACACTGTACATGTATTAAGGACAGGTAGTGTGGGCCTAATGGTGTCCTTAATAAAGAGGCTACACTGTACATGTATTAAGGACAGGTAGTATAGGCCTAATGGTGTCCTTAATAAAGAGGCTACACTGTGGCTGTACATGTGCATGCATATACCGTGGTTAAACTATTTTATTTTTTGTTGAAATATGACCTAGAAGAGATCATATTTTATATTTATTTTTTGTTGTTGTTGTTTTATAGCTGAGGATTATGTCAGTACACCAAAGACAGTTACAATATCTCCTGGGCAAACGAGAGCCTGTACTCAAATTGAAGTGGTACAGGACACCATTGATAATGAGAATGATGAGCAGTTTTGCGTTAACATAACGTCAGACAATCCTGTGATTAGGTACCAGCCACCAGAGTGTCAAATAATGGTCACCATCATTGACAATATACGTAAGCATTAATAATAATAATAATAATAATAATAATAATAATAATAATAATAATAATAATAATTTTTTTTTTTTTTTTTTTTTCAAAGGATAAATTAATTAATAAATAAAATAAAAAGTGATACTGCCAAATAAAATAATAAAATGTATATATTGCATACAGTGAATAGTCTTCAGTGATTTGAATAGGTCAGTCTCCTTACAGCTGGCAATATAGCACTGAGTGACTCCACTCTTAATAATAATAATAATAATAATAATAATAATAATAATAATAATAATAAACTATAATAATAATAATAATAATAATAATAATAATAATAATAATAATAATAATAATAAACTATAATAATAATAATAATAATAATAATAGTAATATAATGAATAAAAAATGATAACTGTAATTTTAAATTTTTGAGTGGTTTGCTACTAAGGCAAAATCTAAGTTTCATTTCCTGAACTGATGGATTTATGATGTCAATTAAAGCTTACAATTGGTTTTATTAATACTTTGCTATAGGTTGCATCTCATACAGATCTGACATTATGATTGTTCTTGATGAATCTAGAAGTATCACCCCTGAGAGTAATTACATCCTCCTGAAAAATTTCGTGTTAAATTTGACCCGTCAATTTCCTATCAGTGAGACACAGACACACATAGGGCTGGTTCGATTCAGCACAGAGTCAAGAACTCGAGTTATCATTCAACTTACTGAATTTTTTGATGGAGATGCATTGAGAAATAGAATCGACAGCGAGTTAAACCCAAGCGATGATAGACGTGGAGGAGAAACCCGCCACAATCTAGCCATGATGGAAGCTCATGACGAGTTTCATGCAAGAGGTAGAAGTGACGTTCGTCAAGTTATTATGTTGCTCACTGATGGTGAACCCGATCCTTCATCGGCTAGTGCTAGAGAAATATCTGCTGAGATACGTGCTGACGGCATTGATATATATGGGGTCTTCATTGGTAGCGACCAGGATGGAATAAACGAGATTAGAAATATATCTACTCGGGGTAGAGCTTTTCCGGTAAATGATTTCAACGCTTTGACTGATGTCTTGGATGATCTTATTAGAGATGAGTGTGAAAGTAATAATAATAATAATAATAATAATAATAATAATAATAATAATAATAATAATAATAATAGATTATAATTGTGCTTTTGTCTTTCTTTATAATAATAATAATAATAATAATAATAATAACATATTCTCTCTCTTTCTTTCATCAAGGTGTTGCTGTAACGTTTACTACTAGTGATGTAGTTGTTCATGAGAGTGAAGGTCAAGTTAAGGTCTGCATTGAAAAGAGTGCCCAAGCTAGTCAAGATGTCAACCTTACCCTAACTGCAAAACAGCGTAACACACCACCCGTCTTACCTAATGACGCTAGAGGTTCGTATAAGCTTATGTTCCTGCTTCTGTGTACTTTAAGCATGTACGCTGTAGCAACTCATTTTATGTGTCTTTGTAATTCTCTCCTTTTTTTCATTGATTACAGTTGGTTCAGATTTCCCTGCTGACACGCAAAATGTTATATTCCCCCGAAATGCCACAAAGTTGTGCTACAATTTCATTATCGACGATGATAATATCGGTGAACCGAACGAAGTCTTCCAAGTAATGTTGATGATTCTGAGTCCGCCTGAAGTGGCGACTGCACCTGAACCAACGGCCAATATCACCATAATAGATGACGACGGTAAGATCTATTTTTAGAACTTTTTATGCATGTGGTAATGACATCATTATCGTTACTATTAATAGATACATGTATTAATGAATGATACATTTGTGTAAATGTGTGTGCTACTATAAATAAATTGAGTTGCTATTGTTATTTATTTCTATAGTTAACGTGCTTGAGTTTACTTCTAATGATTACTGCATTGAGGAGGACAAAGGCAGTGTAACAGTCTGCGTCACGAAGAGCCGTGTCACAGAGTATAATTTCACCATTGAAATTGACGCCTTTGAGAGCACTCCACAATCAGCTAGAAGTATGCCTAATTATTGTATTAATAAATATTATTTCTTTTCTTTGTTTTCAGATGGTTTGTTTCCATTGGGTGACTTTTTTGGCGGTAAAAGACAACTAACATTCCCCAAGGATAGTTCACAAGTTTGCGCCAGCTATGAAATATTCATTGAGCCAACAGGCTCTGCACCTGAAACCAACGAAACATTTGATGTCTCTTTTACAGCTAGCGGACTACTTGGTGGCAATAGGACTACAGCCACTGGCCGATCCATGGTGACAATTAAAGATTCTGAAACTATAAGTGAGTAAATGACACGTACTTGAGGAGGGTTTTGGGATTTTTTGCATGAGTTAAATAGGTCTTAAATAAGACAAAGTGAATTTTTATAAAATAATTCAGATAAAATAGTGGTAGATTAAAGGCATGGTGAGCAAATCTGAATAAAAGAAAGGGACAAATTACTGTAAACCTATTAATGTTAGCGGCTACTTTATTTAGCGTTTATGCTTAAATGTCAAATTAGCAACTATTAAATTTGGCGTATCATTAAACCTTTCCCACTTTTCTGTTAGCTGCTGCTGTCGTTCCACTGGGTTCTCCTTCCTCTGGTAGTGTTGCCAACCGAGCAGAAGAGAGCCATTTACTAGTATAGTATCAGCAACATTTTGTGATCACGTGACCAGGTGTTTTTATTAGCGAATATTAAATTTAGCGTGTTTAGCCTCTTCGCTAATATCGCTAAAATAAGTAGCACGCTAAAATTTGTAGTTTTACAGTATTGTATTAAGCATGCATGCCCATGTACTGATAGGTGATCAAATTCCACTCTTAACCAAATTAATCAAATTTATTAGTAATTTTAATCAAAAACTGTGTCTAATGTTCATTTTTATAAGAATAAAACAAGAGTTTATAAATTAATATCATTATTTTTCTTCTACCTTTTTGTATACCTAAAGTATTCATTCAACCCCCTATGCCCGGTACTGATGGATTAGACGTCCCAGAGAGCAAGGGAAATGTGACCGTTTGCGTTAGCAGGAACTTCACAACATCATTTGATGTTATGCTAACATTCATTCCAATGATGAGTGCTGCTCAGGACAATACAGGTATAAGAAATGAATAAGAGAAAGAGTGATTGTAACTTTTTTGTTTTTGGCCAAAAATATTTGCAAGAATTACGTGTACATGTGTATAATTATATTTTTATTTGGGATTTTATGCTACAAAATGATGGGTATTGTTATTATAATATTATTTGTGGTAGCTTTATTAGACGCTTCCAATTCGCCAATTATTACTTCTCTGCCAATATTTCAGTGTATGGTATATGTACATGTATGTTTTTGCTATTTTTGTCTTCTATGTTATGATATAATAATAGTGATAATAAATACGGACACAAAATTAAAAAATTTTACTTTCTTAACACATAGCTACCCCTGGGGATGATTTTCCATTGCGTAACAAGACCGTTAACTTTTTTGGAAACATGACGAGAGCATGTGCCACAATAGACATCACTGATGACGATCTCCTGGAGAAGAATGAGACTTTCAGTGTCATGATATTAGTACCTGGTCACTCACCAGAAACATTGACTGCTAATATTACCATTATTGATGATGACAGTAAGTAACTAACGCTTATTATTATTATTATGATGATTATTATTATTATTATTATTATTATTATTATTATTATGATTATTATTATTATTATTATTTTTTCCTTTTTAGCTGCTGACTTAGTCTTTGGTAGTGCTACTTACTATTATACTGAGGATGATGGAACAGGTCGTGTTTGTGTCAATACAACTAAACCACTGAGTGTTAATGCTAATATCAGATTAATCACTACAAGTACTGGCAATCCTGGCGATCCAGCAGCTACTGCAACACGTAAGCAGCAAGGAAAGAGTAATTACTGTAGAAGTGGAATATTTTACTGCCTTTATTATTTAGTTTTAAAATTTTGCTTGTTTTTAATTTTACGGTTTACATGTGAGCTACTATAAATTAATATAGCTATATAACAAAAATTTGCTGCCTTTTAATTTTACTTTTTTTAATTGTAAAATTAAAGTCACCTTACGATATTCTGCTTTTACGGTATTACAGTATAATATCGAGCCTAATTTTATCACCCTTTCCCTCCCTCTCTCTCCCCCTACAGCTAATAGTGACTACACTCCAGTTAATGAGAATAAAACTCTCCATATGGGTCAAACTAGTGTCTGCTATGACATTCCAATAACTAAAGATACTCAGAGAGAGCCTCAAGAATTTTTCTATGGACGCTTTGAACTTGAACCCTCTTCATCAGCCGAATTGCAACGTTGCTTTGGGTCTAGGCTCACCATTAGATCAAGCGAACGTGCTAGAGTTTTCATTAACGACACTTCAGACACAAGTATGGACTAATGATTAATAATGCATACAAAACTTTGATGTTATTTTTGTTAACATTTTTATTGATTGTTTCTTTTTTCTTCCTTTAGTTTGTAGAAATATTGTCTCAGATCTTGTCATACTAATAGATGAGTCTACTAGTATTAATCCTCCTGATTTCGACCTTGAGAAGCAGTTTGCAGCTGATCTAGTAGAGCAGTTCCCAGTTAGCCAAGATGGTACACATGTCTCTGTCATCAGATTTAGTAATATTGAGCGTACACAAGTCATATCTCACCTGGGTGATGTTACTGACACTGCTACACTGCGACAAATCATACTAGCTATCAGTAATAATGACTCTTTCAATGGTAGAGGCACATTTACTCATCACAAAGATGCCATGATGCTAGCTAGACAACAGTTCAATGACAGAGGGAGAGAAGGAGCTAGTAAAGTTGTAGTGTTGATAACAGATGGTGTTCCTAACGATGAGACATCCGGGATTTTAGGAGACAAATCACCACAATCTGCTATTGGTGAGGCAACTGCTGCAAGGAATGAAGGAGTTGATATATTCTGTGTTGGAGTCTTCTTACCCGGTGGTAGTCTAGTGGCAAATGCTAGTAGGGAATTGGATGCTCTTGCTGGAGATCCTGGTAGAGTGAGTCTTGTGGATAATTTTAATGCACTTAACAGCACATTGACTGAGGTGATCACTGGAGAGATATGCGAGGATGGTAAGGAGGCAGTAATAAAACTATTTAATGATGTACTGTGCCTGCATGTCTTCAAGTTATTAGAGAAACTGATGCAAGAATAATAAGCATCATTGCTGTATATGTAGCTAGAAATTTTGTGGCCCAAGCTTTCTGCAAATTTTGCAATACTTAAACTTTTTAAAAATCTATTTTATTAAGTCATAGCAGGTCAAGTTACTTAAGTTATGCATGCATTCACAAAAAGTGATTCTTCATTCTTGCTGGATATTTGCAAAAATTGGGTCATGAGCAGATTTCTAGCTATACTGCATTTGATTATTCCAGTGTTTTTTTGACCATGAGCTATTGTTGGTTATTTTTCTCTTAATTTTTTAGAGTGTAGAAATGTCGTTTCTGATCTTGCTATACTAATAGATGAGTCTACTAGTATTAGTCCTGATGATTTCAACCTTGAGAAGCAGTTTGCAGCTGATCTAGTACAGCAGTTCCCAGTTAGCCAAGATGGTACACATGTCTCTGTCATCAGATTTAGTAATATTGCACGTACACAAGTCATATCTCACCTGGGTGATGTTACTGACACTGCTACACTGCGACAAATCATACTAGCTATCAGTAATAATGACTCTTTCAATGGTAGAGGCACATTTACTCATCACAAAGATGCCATGATACTAGCTAGACAACAGTTCAATGACAGAGGGAGAGAAGGAGCTAGTAAAGTTGTAGTGTTGATAACAGATGGTGTTCCTAACGATGAGACATCCGGGATTTTAGGAGACAAATCACCACAATCTGCTATTGGTGAGGCAACTGCTGCAAGGAATCAAGGAGTTGATATATTCTGTGTTGGAGTCTTCTTACCCGGTGGTAGTCTAGTGGCAAATGCTAGTAGGGAATTGAATGCTCTTGCTGGAGATCCTGGTAGAGTGAGTCTTGTGGATAATTTTAATGCACTTAACAGCACATTGACTAATCTCATCTCTGGAAGAATATGCGCCAATGGTAAGGAGACAATGATAATAATGACACCAGTTATTTCAAGATGCACTATTCTCTGCATGAGCACATATATAGTTGGCCATTGACCAAAAACCCACCATTTTGAACCATTTAATCATTTTCATGCAACCTCAATAGCAAATGGCACATAGCCACTGCCTTTCATGAAAAAATTTGGATTTGCAGACTCCTAAATTACTTATATGTAATTTTATTACAGTTTATTATTATTATTATTATCATCTTTTTTATTTCAGAAACTGGACCTCCACAATGTATCCTGAGGGAGCCACTCGAGGTTGTTCCCTTCCATCCTGCTGGAAATTCAAGTGCTTCCTACAACTTCCGCCAAATGTGCGAGCACATCATCGCCAAGCCTTGCAACAATGACAGCTACGTGATAGTTGGTGACTTCCTTGCAGAGAACTTGACTATGGGACGGGTTGGCATACAGACTAGGGATGGCAGATACGTTATAATTGATGAAGGTTTACGCACTCGTAACTCTACCCCAGCACCAAGCAGTGTGACTATAAGTTCCGAAATGAGTGGAAATGAAATTGTTAAAGTCACTCTTTCGTACAATAATAATGAAGCTGTCATAGTGCGAGATAGAAGCATGATCATGATAAGTATCAGATCCGGTGAGATCTGTGGTCTCTGTGGTGATCTCAACGGTAATCTCTACTCTTCAGACGGAATGAGACTGGATGACGTTATGAATCAAACTAAAGTAAACTCTTTTGCCAGCAGCTGGCAGAGGGCACCTAGTCAACAGATACTGAGAGATGACAGGAGAGAGTGTGGTAAGTACATGCATAATTGTTAGCATTAGTACTGTAGCTCTGAGATTTAGTTGACCTTTGGGCTAATTATTTATTTTAATTAGCACATTGCAACAACAATTGTAATGCATTTTAAAAGTATCTATAGAAAGTTACTAATCTAAACTGAGTAAAATTATCTACATAGTCTAAGAACATTAATATATTCATAAATAATGATAATCCTTTCTTTTTGCTCCATAGCTGTCATCAAGAATGATACCGTGATTGGTGATCCATTATTTGAAGCTGCTTTGTGGGTTGGAAACACCACCTGCCAATACTCGCTCTGTTACGAGATACACGGTTCCTCAGATCAGCACTATAACCTCCTCTCTGACCTCTGTGTCTCTGTCAATGCCTACTATACACCAATGCGCAATCCGGACGACGGAAACATCATCAGTGCCATTGGTATAAGGGCATCAGACGACAACGAACAATGTCACCTCATCAATATTGTCCAGGACCAGACGACCGGATTCTGTGTGACAACGGTTAACAGTGGTGCGCCTCTTGTTGTTGGTGATACTGGTTTCCAGGATGATAGCGTTAGCGTGAGACAGAGGATGGCGACACGTGTTCGTATCGGAGTTCCTAACTGTGAGAGGATCCCTCTGGTCATGTGGGTCACTTGTCAGAACATGAGCGGGGAGCTGATGATGAGGTTTGATATATCTCGTGGTGTCAATCTGCGTCCATCATCTCATGGATTGTTAGGTAAGGAATCAACATGGTATGAGCATCTGAAATCTCTCTCTCCCTTTCTCTCAACACCTCTTCTCAACTGCTGCTAAGTTTCTCCATATAATCTTCATTAATTTATTTATTCATTTATTTATTTATTCATTTATTTATATATTTGTTTATTTATTTATTTATTTACTTTATAGGTCAATTCTATAACATCAGGATGCAAGCTCAGCGCTTCACTGACCAATCAGTGATAAACATGTTGGATCAAAACTACTTTGATATCAACAATCTCTGGGTTATAACAGTCACCCCTCCTACCGGAAACACTCGTAACTTTGTTGCTGAGCTGTATGAGAGGGCCTGGGACAACTCTCGCTCTCCTTGTCTGTATGCAGGAAACTCTCAGGGTGGCCATTCGATAGAGTTTGCCGCTAATTACACTGATTCTGTCATTGAAGGCCACTACACTCACTATAGAGTGAGCGATCGTTTTGATACCCAGTTCCGATATGAGAAATTTGACAGTAGCAGATGCAATTAGTAACACCTACCGCTCTCGTTTGCTAAAAATATAACTGATTGTTGTAGCTTTTAGTGAATATTGTTATTGTTGTTGTTATTATTATTTAGAGATATGCTTGATATTTAGAAACTTTGTTACTATACTTTTGTATCTTTTATAATGCTTTTTGTATCTTTTATACTTGTAGCTGTCAGTCCCATTTATTAATTGTTTCAAGAAAAAATTAAAAAATAATTTGTGATGGTTTTGTAATTATTTTTTTTTTAATTGTTTTAAAATGCTTCAAATAATTATAATAAAATGCAGCTGCAATGTGCTTAATCATTAATTTTTTAAATTTACTACTTATAATGGTCGTAACTCAAAAATTGAAGTCGGAATCAGCTCAAACTTTCTACACAGCATAAAGACATCAATATGTATCAAGAAATGTAATAAAAATTTGGAGTGTTTTTGGAGCCATTTTTTGGAAAAAACCATGGGCTATAGCTTTGGGTAATTTTTCAGAATTTTTAGTGTTTTCTTAAAATGGCCATAACTCAAAAAAATTGAAGTTGCCATAACTCAAAAAATTGAAGTCGAAATCAGCTCAAACTTTCTACACAGCATAAGGACATCAATATGTATCAAAAAATGTAATAAAAATTTGGGGTGTTTTTGGAGCCATTTTTTGGAAAAAACCATAGGCTATAATACAGGGTATTTTTCAGAATTTTGGTGTTTTCTTAAAATGGCCGTAACTCAAAAAATTGAAGTCAAAATCAGCTCAAACTTTCTACATAGCATAAGGACATCAATATGTATCAAAAAATGTAGTAAAAATTTGGGATATTTTTGGAGCCATTTTTTGGAAAAAAAATGATTGACATTCATTGACAATGGCTTTAGCAGGCGCTGGTGGCTTTATGATTGTTTTAAATAAATACTTCTTTAAAAAAATTAAAAAAATAATATTAAAAATATCTAATATTAAATACCGTCTATCTGGAAATTTTTACTGTGATTTAAATTTTACTGAATTAGAATTTTGCAAAAATTAGATTACCCATATAATAACATGCCACATTCAATAATACATGACACAGTCTTATTTAGTAAAAATTAAGTCACAGCGCAATTTTAAACCGCAAAAATTTCCTACCACACTAATTTCCTGATCTACGGTAATAATAATTATCATAACTGAATGGTGACTTGATCTAAATCATCTCTGTGTTCCTTCCACAGTGATTCCATTGCTCTATACAACACATCAGGCATGTGGTCTTTAAGCATGTACGGAGACACATTTATTTCCTTAAAACTACTAGCAGCACTCCAAGTAGCTTCTAACTGCCTCCTTGCAAAAAAGCAGCTTCTCTCTTCAAGTGTATCAACTATGTGAATGATCTTCCCAGGCGGATAGAGGGGAGGGACGCCGGTTGAAGGTTCTTCATCGCTCGAGAAACCCTCATTGGTGAAACTTAAAGGGGCAGAGTCTGAGAGGAGCAAAGGAGAAGAAGGGTTGTCACTTTCGTCGATATTAGTCTCAGCTAATCCACTGCTTGGGTCACTATCCTCTGAAAAAACAATCTCCCTACCGCAACAGACCCCGAGGGTTTCCAAAAAACCCTCAAACAAAATCCGATGCTTGGGTTTCTTGGAAGATTCGAGTACCTCTATAATGCGGCGAGTGAACTGATGAGCTGTGTTCACATTCAAACGACAGACCAGATCTTGTCCTAGCGTAACTGAAGTGACAAAAGACTGCGTGTAAATAGCTGCTTCTGCATTTAATAAAGACCCAGTGGGAGAGAAACAAAAGCAGCGTAAGTCCGGGTACGATTTTTTTAATAAAATACTTAATATACACGCTACTCCTGAGCCCAGTGAATGACCAGATAGTACTAATCTGTATCGCGGGACCTTCTCAAAAGCAGATTCTAACACTTGGTCATTATCCAAGTACTCCTTTATCCACAGTGCAGTGTTGTACATCCCACGATGGACGGCAAACTCCGACCAACCGGGTAACTGGAGTGGATGGGTAGTGGCCGTGAGGTCTGTCATGACGTCTTGAAGGGAGAGCGTACCTCGTATTGCAACAACAACGCTCTCTCGCTCGTGGTCCAAGCAAACGACAAATGGCGTTCGGTAGAGGTCGTTTTCAAAACGAGCATAAATAATGTCAGCTTGATTGATGCCAGTCATAGCTAGGAAGCCAGCATAGCCACAGTAGCAGCTGTTGTCCTTGTGTATGTTCTTATGGACTTGCTTACGGGAGGAACAACAACAGCAGCGACAAAGTTGAGCGTGAGATAAAACCTCACAAAAACCACAAGTTGGATTCATGAATATGTGTATAGACCATGTGTACGTACCTAATGCAAAATTAAGATAATGCAAGGCATCTGAAAATAATTTCTTGTCCTCAGGATCTGTGAAATTGAATGCTACGGATGTCAAGTCACGAGTGTCCAAAGTGATTAAGTTTTTCTCGTGCACCAAATGTCTCTTTTGCAGGAGGAGAATCCCGGCGGCAATATCGGAGAGGACTAGATTAGAATCGTGAAACAAATGAGCAAATATGTTAGCAACTTCTTTGTAGGCGGTTTGATGAGACTCATCGCTGCTACTAAGACAGAAAATCAGTTTGAGTCTGTCCTCCCAAACTGATCTAGTTCTATTCAATAAAGACCCACTCCTGCTACGCTGGATGCCTTCTTCTTCTCTTGTCTCTCTGCTACCGACTTTACTCGAATAGAGATGACATGGATCAAGGTATATCGCCACAGATATGAGAACTGTTAGGAAAATCAACCAAGTGACGGCTACCACGACCCTAGCGACGATGACCGCCGTCCCTAACGTGGGACACTGGTCCACGTCAATGTTAAGCTCTTCGGGTCGAACGGCCATGACTGTTTTCATCAGTAGTATAATTATTTCGAAAGCGAATATAATGAGGCGGGCATGGAGAAGATGGGGGACGAATCTTCTTGGGCGATTGTTTCTTATCGTTCCTCTTGAGCTCGCGATCACTATGGCAACCTCTAGCACGAGTACACAAGTTGTCATGGCGATGGAGGCGTAAGCGACAGAGGCAAATGACGGAGACTGTCCACAGGACAGGGCACTGTGATAGAAACCAATACCAAAAATCTGAGGATTAAAAAAAAACAAAAAATAACTTATTATGCTGCTTATATTGTAGTCCAATTTGATTATTATTATTCTATAAAAGCTATGCCACGTCTTAGCTTAGATTTGCAGTACAATATTTTAGCTTTGAGCATTAAAAATACTATCACATCAAGATTTGGGGATGAGTGAGGTTTTACCTGTATTATGAGCCATATCGACCTAATTCCGACTAGAACACTCCCAGGAATGACCAAATCATCGCTAGCAAACTCCCAGCGCCTTCCACAAGCTCGTAAAGGAGGCATTATCAGTTAGGTTTATCAGTTTAAAAACTTCCACATAGTGATTGTTTTTTACTAGAAATTGAATATCAAGTGTTGATCACGCCCACTTCCTGTCAGTGAGTCAGGACACACCCACGCACTATTAATTGACAAATTAAAATTAATAATGAAAATTAAATCAGCATGTACAGTAGGAATGAAAATAACATTATTATTATTAGTTTGACGGGCAGAATGAGTTTTTGAATCTAGAAAATTTAAAATCAGTAGCTAGGAGACCCGGCACTAAATAATCAATATAGGAACCCTCAATAACACTGTCAGAGGGTCCGGGAATATCTTTCAATTTTCCCCCCTGGGAGCTGCCCACGTAGAGGCACGGCCTAAAAGATCGATCCCAACTTCGTTGGTAGAGCTCTCCTATGAACTGACGACTGGTTCCTCCAACTGGACTAACTTGAATGGTATAGAGCTGAGTTTGATCAAAGTCCTCCAGCAATGATTGCGTTAACTGTATAGTGTATGGGGCTATAGTGATGGGTGTGTTCCAAAATTGACCTGTGAAGGAATAAAGATAAAGAGAGGAATTAATTAAGAGAGAAAAAGAAGAGACAGAATCATATGAAATGGCGGAGAGAGTATAGAGAGGAGAATAAGGAAAAAGGAAAGATCAAAAGGCCATTACAAAATAACATACATGAATACACAAAAATCCTCCCACATTTATGCAACATTAATTTCATTTTAAAAACAAATTATTAATTTTACTCCTACTACTGTCTACATGCAGCAATTTTGGGATGACAGACATAAGAAAAAATACTTTTAAAACATTTTAAAGTTTGTAATTTACTAATTTCTCAGTTTTCTCATATTTCATACCTAAAAGTCCATGTGAAGTTTGTCTCAGATTGGCACCTCTACTAATCACAAAATCGATCATCCTCTGACCGTCAACAAGTCCACACTTAACCCACATGACCACGCCCTCTTTCTCGCAATTTGCAGCACTAACAAGTACACGCCCACCGTCTGTCGTCATGACGACGCCTGCCCCCTCATCATAACGAGTTCTCGAAACGCCATTGACTGTCAAAGAACAGCTACTATCACTTTCATGAGAAATGCTCACACTGATACAGGATCCGTTATTATCAACAGTCTTGATGCCAATAGCTCCAATCACGTTTCCATCAGTCGGATGATTCATGGGTACATAAAGGGCGGAGACTGAGAGACAACGGTCCGATACTAGGTTAAACGTGTCACCACGTTGACCGAGTATTTCGTAACAGAGATACCTACTGGGCGAGCTGTGGGAAAAGGGAGGGAGGGGGAGACGAAAGAGTGGATCAGCAGTTATACTGTCGTTAACTAATAGGCCTAAACAATGATAAAAATTTAAAAAAAAAGATTTGACCCATTAAGATCTTTAATACACAATACTACACACTACTGTTATATTAAAGTACATTCACAGTATGTTTCATTACATGCACATCTTTTGAATTTTGCATCTATTATACAGTAGACTCACATGTACTGAATTAGTATAATTATACTCATTAAATCTACTGAGACTTAAAATGTTCAATAACAATAGTATATTGAACAAGACATAGAGTAACAGAAGACAAGCAAAAAGTATCCCAAGTGGTAACTATATATACAGCTGAAAGTCCCTTGATATACACATGTAAAGTAGCACAATTCCTTACCACATTCTGGTTTCACATCTCCACTAGTAGACAATCTCTCTTGAGGATTAACAACCCAACTCTGTACAAAATCATCCACCATCCTTCCTCCAACTGTGCTACCATTCAATACTAGCCTATCCACTCCATTACTCAGGTATAGGGTACCATTTAAAGAGCCACACAATCCGCAGGTGGTTTCGCCTCCGCCCAGATCAGTGACAGTTAGGACGATACCATTAGTCTCATTAATGTGTACATTAATTAATAAACCTGTCTCGTTTAATAATATATTAACGTCAGTTCTTGATATATTAACAATGAGATCTATAGTTCTATACTCAACGAGGCCTATGCCCAAACGGATCGGGTCTCCAAGGTTCTCTGATATTAAAGAAAGGTTTTTAAATATGACGATGGTTTTATCGGTCACTTGAAAACCAATCTTATCCAGATCACTATCATCGTATACGGCAGTGAGGAGGTAAGGAGAGGTAAGGCCACACCTTTTGAGGACAATATGTTCACAGCTGCTTCGATAACGATACGACAGATCAGGTGAAGGAAAAGGATAGACAATTGAAGAAGACTGAATAGTGCAAATGGAAGAAACTAAAAAATAATAAAAAGAAACAAAACGATAGTTTAAAAAGTCAAAATTAATGCAAGTAGCAAGTTGATTTATAGTTTAAATTTCTACACAGACCAGCATACTAAAACACAGGCCAGCATACTAAAACACAGGCCAGCATAAATTTAATGAAAATATATAAAACAAATGTATTGAAGTGGTCATATATGTACATTACAATATCTAATAATTTATTTAAGAATGTAAAACATTAAAGCTCCACTTGTCACCAAACCCTGACATACATGTACAAGTACATGTACAAGTTGATCGACAATATATCATTCATTAATAGTTATTGCTGGTTATTAAAGTACCTTCTCTATCATCATCAATAATAGTGATATTCAATGGACTGCCAATAAAACTAAGTCTTCTTTCTGCTGTTGTTGTGAATACAGTGAATGTCTCTGGTCCTTCTACTAGTTCATCATTGATGATACGGATCCGGACATCTTTTTTTCTTTCATTAGGCAACTTCTCTATCGTTTGAAACCCATCTCTATAATCTCCATCTTTCAAAAATAAACAGAAAATAAAATATACAATTACTAGGAAAGGTTAAAGTATTCAGAAAGTTTGAGCTGATTTTGATAAGTTATAGCTTTTACAATGACAATGCTTTTTCCGACAAATGGCTCCAAAATCACCCCCCCCCTATTTTTATTAATTTTTCTTCTACATATTGATGCCCTTATGCTATGTAGAAAGTTTAAGCCATTTCCAACAATTTTTTTCAAGTTACAAGTTTTTATGATTTTAATTTTTATTATAACTATTATAGGATCATGCTAGGGTTTTACTGTAGTTGATTAAGCTAAAAGCATACATGTACATGTACATGCACAAACACTTTTAAACTATAGCCTATACCTTCCACTTACTAGTTGTATTGATGTCAACTACAATCACATTAAAGAATATCGACTTCTCAAATTCACCAGGAAACTCATAGCTGACTATAACATCTTCGTATTCATTGAAACGTGTGTTAGCACCACTGGTGATGAAAAATAATGTACCTACATGTAGAACAATGATATTATTATTATTATTATCATTAAGAGAGAGAAAGGGAGAGAGAGAGGAGAGAGTGACTAACTGCTAGTGTCCTCAATGTATACAACAGCTCTTGACCTATTAACTACTAGAGAACTTGAGTTACTAGTCAAAGAAACTGTAAAGCTTTCTCTATTCTCCAGAGCTTGGTCCAGTGTTAAAGTAATGGGAACAATCACTTGATTGTTTGTTAAACTCAGTGCCCTCGATACTGGTATGTAGTCAAAACCAGCTGCAGGAAAGAGAGAGAGAGAGGGGGGGGGGGGAAGGAGGCAGTGAAAATGTTGAGAAAAGAAAGAGACAAAAAACTATATAAACTAAATGAATGAATAAATCGAAGTACATTTGTCTTATACAATATATTTCATGAATATCGACACATACATTGTACATGTACATGTATATCTACTATCATAGCAATTTATGTGGCCCAAAACTTTGAATTTTGCAGATTTTAGTTTCAGAAAATTTCTACTTTCCAATACCAGATTTCCTCGTACAATTCATTTCCATGGATTTTCAAAAATCTCAAAAATTTTGAGCCACAAAACCTTCTCATAAAGTATCGAAACAAAAAAATCTAGAATATAATAAAATAAATAAAAATTTTGTCAACACCTCTGGCAGTTCCATTATTTATTGTCATGAAAAATGGTTGAAGGCTGAGTTCACTCAACCCAAAGACATCAACATAGACATTGACAACACTATCACTCTCATTAGCACTGTACGATGAAGAATTGAAAGACACAGTCAAGACTAAAAAAATAAAAAAAACACAAAATTAAAAACTGGCTTTAGTCATGCTAGCTTATTGAAAGCTTAATTTTATCAATTTTAGCATTTTAGCAAACTATAATAATAATATTCATTAACATCTCTTGCTAGTAGATTGTATGTTCAAGTTGCTTACCATCATCATCTCTGATGTTAATTCTAGTTGAATTTCTATTGATAATAATTCCACTCAGTGACAGACGTGATGAAATACTAACAACAAAAGACTCAATTTGCTCCTCTACAATATCATCATCATTAATAATGACGGGGAATGAAGCAATGGGTGAGCTTGATGAGAAGTCTACTCGTTCCAAAATAATAATGTAATCACTGACAGCTAGAAAAAAGAGAGAGAAATTGTATACTCATTACAGTATGTACTAGAAAAATGTAAAATATTAAGAGCTCTAAACCTTACATACATGGACATGCAAACAAAAATAATAATTCACATGTACATTTGTAGTATGGTGCGTGGGCGGATCAAAGGCGCCGCCAGTGCTACAACTTCCAATAACCGCACGGTAGGAAAATGTAGCACTGTGTGGAATATGTAGTACTGTGCAGTATAATATGTATGGGCTTTCCTGTTAACCACAAGCTTTGATAGAGGCAAATCACAGCCACAGCTACATACACTAGACATGTAATAATAATAATAGTGATAAATGAGATCTGATCGTTTTGTCCTGGCCACCTGTGCGACTTTTGAAATTTCATTTGATCCGCCCACGCACCACTACAAACCAATCAAAGCACTGTTGATTCGTAGATTATGGAAATTATTGCACTCGGGACGGTCTCGACAAAAATGTAGCACTCGGCTTCGCCTCGTGCTACATTTTCCTCTCGACCGCCCCTCGTGCAATAATTTCCATAACCTACTCTCAACAGTGCTTTAACTAATACGTAATTATATACATGTACATGTATGTAATCAAGTGTACATAATACTAAAGAGAGTATCGAACGGCCCTATACAAGTTGCTGCATGAGGGCGTATTTGCTCAAAGTCACAATCCGCATACTCCAGTATACTTTATCAATGAATATAGTTATCGCGTAGACATTAAGTTGCCATTGTCACGAGTTGGCAAGTGCTTGGGGCACAAACTCCTGGATACTAGCAGCACTGCCTTTGTAGTTCATCTTTCCAGCCTTTTTTCAAGTTCCTTTCTTGTATTGGAAGAGATTGCCAAGTTTTTAAAAGCTAAGGGCCAGATAATGTTGCCACATGGTTGATCACGTGATATGGTAAGTATACTGGAGTATGCGGATTGTGACTTTGAGCAAATACGCCCTCATGCAGCAGTCTTCTATAGGGCCGTTCGATACTCTCTTTATACATTATATACTCTTGCTAATATCTATGCTAATATCTATGGTGGGGCTTTCATAGTATTTTCTCAAATTGAAATTCCGTGTCATCTCCGTGCACTAATAGATCTAAAAATTAGTCTTCCCCCGCAAAACTGGGGTCTGCAGCTGGGCGTGGCTATTTGGGTGTGGTTTGTTTATTTCAAGCAAGCTCTTGTTTCTTCTCTTTTTTAGTCCAAATGCACCTCCAGTTGTTCCTACAATGAGAATAACAAAGCAGATAATACTAAAAAAACTAGTCTTCCTTCTCTCCTAATCTCCTCCAGTTGCTCCATAAGACTGTACCATTTCCTCTTGAAATAATAATAATAGAAAGACTGTCATACCTGGACCTATCATCAATGAGAATACGTAAGAACAACTATGAGGAACAAAGAGAGACTTTATAATGATGATGATCATTAATAATAAGATAATGGTACAATTAGCCTCAGCCTGAGCTAGTTACTGCTTGATTGTCATACTTGATTGTGGAGGGATTAGCAGTTGTAAAGTGAAGGAGTCTTCATGGTTGTACTGGAGTAACAGTGTAGCTGTTAGGATAAGGACAATATTAGAATCATTGTATAAAGAAGATAATGGTGGTTGGTCTGTTACTGTGAGACATGTAGAACATGTTAAATCATATGCACCTCATGTTGATCATATTGTAATTGATATTGAATGTAGACCTTTTAAAACACTTTAAAGGAAATTATAATCAACATTAAGTCATCATTGCCACTAGATGATTGATGACCCTGACTATATTCATATCTTTCCTGTGAATGACGTTGGCGATTTATAATGATATTCATTGGGATACCGTAAATGAAAAATTAATTAAAATTTTTTCAGGCCGCCATTGTGGAGGTATACTATCATTAGCTACAATGGACCGACAGGCTAAGAATTTCAATTCTACTTCTCCACGTCACTC